ATAATGTATAATCCAATAGATAATAATACAGTGCTCAAATTTAATATAGGAACATGATGAAAAATCGTATAAAACAGCCTAGTTCATCAATGAACGTTCCTTATTTAAAGTTGAATGAAAAAGAGATCTTTGGTGAAAATCGAGCTCGCAATCTCTTTTGCTATCTCGGCGAGCGTTAGACCACAGAGGCCCGTACGCGATATACATGGCCTACCTGTAATCTCTCTCCCTTCATGCGAGTTTAGGGCTCATAAAAAGTGAAGATATTGTTGAAATCCGGAAAGGTACCTAGGGCCAGGCTATAGACCTATATATAGCCTAATCTAGTATGGCGGTCTTATAATAGAAAGTACTAAAGGAGTGTCCTTTTACGTACCTCTTTTCAATGCCCTGATTACAGTACTTGGGTCTACACAATTTCGGAGGTTATTTTCTAGAGATGTACGTGTACTGGTACTACTAAAAACTCCTTTATAGGCAAGTTACCGGGCGTCTATATTACCGGTAGTCTTCCTTTAATTTCCAGGGCCTTAGCGTGTAGTGCTAAAATAGCAGGGAATTTCCCCGCTGTTGTTTACATCCCGGTCCCTGCAAATCGCGCCTAAATATAACAAAGTGTTTTGGTGTTTTATCAATATCAATAATATTTTCCACAATAAACAATAATTTAAAATAATATCTTGGAATTTTTTTCTAGTCCCCTTAAGGTGGCGCCAGTGCGGGGTGGGGGCGGAGGACCAGGGGCCCCGTCGGAGAGGCCTGCCACCCCCTGTCGGGGAGAAAAACCACAATTTGTCAGGGAGAAAATAAAATTATATGTAGGCCTATTTTTTACATGTTTTAGTAGAATAAAATCGATTAAATACGCCTTTAAAATCCCTAATTTTTTCGGGAGCATCGCCCCCTGGACCACTTTTGAAAAAGAGTAACCGCCTACTTCAGTTTGCTCGTCGGAGACATCGGTGCTGTCGGGGACATCGGATCCCCTCATCAGGACCCTCCTCCCAACCCCAGTCAGGCATATCCTGGCGCCACCCTTGCTTTAATGTAATTTAAAACGGGATTTTTAACTTTTTTTTTTTTTTTTTTTTTTTTAACCTAAATGAGAAATAAAAGAAGGAACTTAAAATGAATAATATACGGGAAATTAGAAATGCAATGAATACTAATAGGAAATGGAAAAGAAATGTTTACTGTACTTCACACTAAGGTCTTAACTGAAGAAATAAATGGATTTTATTTTAAAATATATACACAATTGCAGCATATAGGGAAAAAAAACTGGCCGTGCACAAGAAATGCCTTGAGAAAATAACTCGGTTACGCCCTCTAGAAGGAGTCAACACTTTCCCTATTGTTTTGTTTTTTTCTTCGGGAAGGCAATTTAACATCGGTAATTTTATTACCGCAATCTTAGGCAAATGCAATCAAAATGGCAACGTGTTTTTGTTGTTTTCGATGTTTTGGAAATTCAGGATTTAACCATGTGCCTCTTAAAGAAATCCCGAGTGTAATGATGGATACGACACGAATGGGTACGTCAAGAAGTGTAGCCTAGGCTAGACCTAACCTACTGCATTCAAGACTGGCTGTGTTTTTTTCGGCCTAGGCGTACCCGGTTAGAGATATGCCTAGAGGTGCTAGGCCTAGACCGCCCACCGAATCCAAGCCTAGGCCTACCCTAGGCTAGTCCGTCCTACGCTAAACTGTAAACGCCGAACCGTGCCAATGTTTTTTTTTTCAAAAAGTTCTTACAACCACTGTAGGTACAACAAATACAACTGAGTGAGTGAGATAAGAATTGTTCCTGTGTTTGCAATCCTAGGCCTAGGCCTACCCTCTAGTAGTAGTATAAATAAATAAGATTTCAATATAATTTCTAGGCTTTTTTTCTGGCTCTGCTTTGCTCGTCTCTAAATCTCGATCCGTCTTCTGCAAACAATGCCTCTATCCAAACTGCTCTGCTTGGAACACATTGATTTGTTGTTTAATTCTTATGAATATTTTTATTGGCTATAGCAAATGTTGATAATTGATTGTGTTATGTTTTTTTGTTTAGCGGATAATAGCCCATTGATGACTTTTGTAGCAAATAAATATTGAATTGAATTGAATACTTACTCATATACTCTTGCAGTAACTGTAAATTAGACTTAGAGCAGCTCCAATGTAGGAAGTTGCAAGCCAAATGAACTAAACCACTCAAAAAAACATACCATAAAGCAAATATATTATTACTATTAGGCCTAGTATCACTTGTTGTAAAATGATCATCATTAAATTTTGAAGGTTTATATAAGGTCATTGCATTATTGTTAAATGTTTAAATACTATTTCACTCTATAATAAAATTTAATTGACCTTTTTGCAATCAATCTTTTTTTTTTACTTTTGCAGTGATGAAGCTTAATAAATAAATAATAATAGATAAATAATCAATAATTCATAATAAATAATTCATCCAGTTTAAAATGTTATTTAAAAAAAAACCACAAGAATGTAAAATTTAATATTGCTAAAATAGTAATTTTTTTATATTTCTTCAGGTACAGATGTTGTGATTGTAAAGGCTGGTAGACGGATATGTGGTTCTGGGGCTGCACTCGGGAATGCACCAATAGTGCAAGATAAGTCTTACTTTGAAATAAAAATACAGTCCACAGGTAAAGACACTTTCATTATTTTAATTTCACTAATAATTTTTTAAGACACTATTGATGTCAGTGACCTCTACCAGGTCAAGGTGATCTCCACGGCTGTAAGAGGAGGATGTAGATGTCCGACAAGCGGTAAGACAGTTCCTGACATGGTTCAGGGTTGCAGCCCGGGTTGGGGTCCATGACAAAAGGAACTGGCGAATTTTTAGCTGTTCTTAAGCCCTGTCCAGACTATCAAATTTTATTTGACAAAAACATACAACTTTTATTTTTCAAAGCCAACTTTGATAATCTAAACAGGACTCTATAGAATATATTATGCCAAGAGAGTTTTTTTAAATATTTAATTTTTTTTTTTTTTTGGTTGCCAAAGTTGCTTTTAAGCAAACTCCCTCCCTGCTTCCCACTGGCGCTGTCATTCTGCGGACTAAAGCGGAGCTTTTACTTTAGAATGGTTATTAACATTATTTTCTGTTTCAGGTGTCTGGGGAATTGGCCTGGCCACAAGGAAGTGCAATATGAACGTAATGCCTCTTGGGAGGGATGCTGAAAGTTGGGTGATGAGGTCCGATGGAACATTGTACCACAACGGGGAAATGAAGCACAAGCTCGCAGTAGAGATCCAAGAAGGGGACATAATTGTAAGAAATTTCAAATAATTATTTTACTTATTGGTATTCTCCATACACTACAGTTACCAAATACTGAACATTGAAATTAAAACACAAATTAAAATCAAGAGAACACCAAATATTGATATTGAAAATATCACAATCATCATAATTCTATTTCTCACAAAAGTAAAGAGGCAAAAAGGGAGCATGTCCCTGTACAAAATGCCCACCAGAGGAAAATATAACTCGGAAAAGATCAAAAGGTAATTGAAGATCACATAATATTCAGTGCAGTGGCGTATCCGGTAAAAAATATGCTCAAACAGTTAAAAATCACTTTACTGTATTTTGCAAGATAGTGCTCTCTCACCTTGTCATCAGACTTCACACTTCCCCTCCCCCTCTCTTTGATACCTTACTGATTCTGTCTACTGCTTTGAATATTGCATACTGTATTCCAAAATCTTTTGATTGTTTTTTTTTTTCCTTTAGGGCGTTACGTATGACCATGTTGAGATGAACTTTTATAGAAATGGAGACTCTCTTCAGTCTCCTTTCGAAGGTATCCGAGGAACAGTCTACCCTCTTATATATGGTAAATATTGGAAATCTTTAGAACAAAAACAACTATTGAGCATGCACAGCATGCCATGACCCACCTTAAGTATTCCGCAATGCACTGTGAATATCGTGAGTAATATTAGGCAGCTTTCGATGTGCATGACGAAAGTAAGAAAGAAAGTATTCACTCTTGTGTGAACATAGATTTGGTGAAGTTGTGTCCTGGAATCAACCGACGAGGAGAACTTAACATTCCCGTATTCCCAGATGACTTCTTAGTGACGTCATTACGGACTACGTTCTACCACGTTGTGCAATCGAAAGCTCCCTGTCGTGCAGCAGTTCCATACCTAACTGTGTAGTGTATTACATAATCTACCCACAAATGCAAAGACCATCTAGCAAATCTAGCAAATGCTCAAATAATGTGTTGTTATGTTAAAATGTAGTCAAAATATTTAGATGGATTATGTTATAAATACGTGATTGTATTATTATTATTATAGATATTGATATTTTTTTATCACTATTTTTGTTATTGGTTTTGTTATTATTGGTATTGATGTTATTGTGTCTTTCTAGTGGATGAAGGTGCAATCATAGATGTGCAGTTCACTGAATTCTATCATCAGCCTCCGAATGGCTTTGACAAGATAATGTTTGAACAATCTTTGCTGTAGTCTATCCAGATTATAGATTGGCGGTGTGCTTATCCCCTTCAAGAGAAATGGTACATTCCAAATTAAAGATGGCATCCTGAAGCCTCACAAGAATTTGCAGAAAGTGTGTATGTACATAGAACCTATAAGTGACTTTCTCATAAATAACATCATACTAATTTTCATCTGTCTTTTAATGCATATTAAAAATGTCAAAATCATGAACTCTGCATTTTCTTTATTGGCTGGTTGACTGTTAGAATGTCCTGTATGTGCACAAATAATATGCCAGCCCCTAAGAGAGTCATTTCAGAAAGTCTTGATATATAAGCCTTAGATACAATCGAGTGGCATAATGATGGTTAGGAAGATAAAGCAGTGTTTGAAGCACCTTCATAGGTTTAAGGGTGGAGGAAAATAATAAAGTTTTAAGGGAATAAATATATACAGTAAATAATGGATAAAAAAAAATATGATTGATTGATAAGAAATGTTGAATTTAGAGCATACCTTTTTATCTAGGGGCATCGTAAAAATGTAATTACTGTATATAGCTTGATAGAGAATAGTAATGAAATTATTATACGAGACCAGTGAAATGAAAAAAGGGAAGCGTAGATACAAATTACAATTAATATTTGGCAACAAATTGTATTACAGTATGCAATTTTAAATTGAAATGCAGCATGTTTCATATTTGTTTTTGGTTTACTGCTGAGTAGAGTGTTTCTCTGTTTATACCAAAGTTGTCTTTGGATTTTAGATTGGATTGATTTAGTCTTGATAAACATAATCTCTCTTCCAATCTGTCTGGAATGTCTCCCTTTTTCAAAGCCCTCAAGGATCATACTGCCCTTTCCTGCACATTGAGTATTAATGTATTAAACCACTGTACCAAGCCAACCAGTTTTTGTTCCAGAATAATAAAAGTAGACACATACTATTGAATGACTAACTAGATCTGAAAACCACAACATATAGCAAATACCACACACTAGTTCATACTTTAAAGTATAATGTTTTTTAATATTTTTAATGTCCATCTCAGGGAATCTTACTTTGGGCGTATTCGACTGGTTCATTTCGTTGACTACAAATTTTCGTTGAGTATTATTTTCATTCAACTGGTTCGTAAATAGACTTCATTGACAACGAAAATTAACGTAAACCAGAATGCGTTAATCAACGTGACCAAAACAAACATGGTCGATTGGTTGGTTTAGAAACAACAATTGTGTTAATATCATTTAGATTAAATTTCAGAAAATAAAAATTATAATATTTACCCACATGAAGTCAAAAAATAATTGTAGGCTAACAGAATTCAAAAAACTGGATGAAAATATTTTTTTTACTAAAAACCCATACTGCCACAAGTTGAAGCAATCTTGATTACACAGCGTGTATTGCAGTAACTATGCAGCCATTTTGTTTTGTCCAGTATTCTATTCAACTGGTCGTCTTCGTTAAGTAGGATTTTACCACTGCGCAGGTGGGCGTGGTTTAATGAACGACCAGTCAAATACGGCCATTTTGATATTTGACAATTTGAGTCTATAATTTTTTTTTTTTAGTTTAATTATTCTAGTGACTTTACTTTGGACATGTCGATATATTGTAGCTTGTTGCTAATTAATTAACATTTTGTTTTGCTTTTTTATTGACATTATAATGATCTTATTATTTTCTATAAACTAGATTTTTTACATTCTTTTGTTTAATTTTATAATGGACTCTCCCTACCATTGGCTGAAAGTCTTTGGGAAACATGGCACAATGGTTGGGCTTTTGGCTCCAGTCGAAAGACCAAAGGTTTGGGTTCGGGCCTCATTGTTGGCACTTGTTTGTGTACTTTGTAATGTATTTTTTTATTCATGCTTCACCCAGGAGTGTAAGTGAGATTTAAAATATTAGTCACACACTGTTTACCTACAACATTATGGAATATGCTTTTCCAGGGATCTTAGTGTGTGTTCAATCCTTGCTGCTTAATCCAATGACCAAGAGAATTATTAGGTCCATGACAATACTGTACTGTGTAATACCTAACTGCCTTGGCATTATGTACTAGCAAAAAAGCCAGTATATTCTCTACTAAATTATTATTGATTACAGTAACATTTACTGTAATAATATCAATTTACATTGATAAAATAGATTTTTATTAATCAATGAAAAGTATATAATTAATGCTTGCGGTACACCACGTAGATAGTTCTGAAAAGAACTGTTGTTGTTGGTTGAGAATATCTCGACGTTTCGGTTGACTTGCTTCAACCTTCTTCAGGAGAATAATATCTGCCGAGACAGGGAAATACTTATATGTTTGAGTGATGAGACTTGCTGCTGATTGGTTGAAAACTAAACAAAGGCTGAGCCTACCAATGAAAAGCTATACAAAAGCTAAAATTGAAAGCCAAGACAGTGGCATTGTTCTAGCTGGGGGAAGGAAAGCCAAAAACAATGGCATAGTTTCCAGTGTGGAGGGAAAGATTTGGTGGGGAAAATTTGGTTTAGGTCCGGTTAAACATGGACAACCAAATATCGCTGATGACAAATCCAATATCTTGATGTACTGTATCGTGTTTGTGAATTTCTATAGCTTCTCTGGTCCATCTAGAATGCCAAGATGGTACAGTGGCTATCAGTTCAGATTAATCCCAACATACATGATGTTGTTGTGTGTGGGAGTGCATGACTATAGATGACTTCTGTTGTTCCCCTCTCCTGGCATGGCCTTGGTGTTCCTTGAGCCTGGTACGGAGATCACGACCTGTTTCACCAATGTAAACCTTTCCGAAAATTTTCAATGAAAAGTAATTATTAATATTTATTAATATTTCAACGTATGTATGTATTAATCTGTGTTCAGTTAATATTGATTAATATTAATTAATATTGATCAATGTTGCTAATTAAAATGTGCTATTGATTAATTTATATTAATAGATATCTGGTTGCTTATTATTTCCACCTTTAAAAGCTGAAAATTGAAATTGTTTGGTGCTCTTCTCGCCTCCCTCCAAAATCTAAATTAGACAAGTAAAAATGTTACAGCTATGTTTCTAATTTCTTCGTATAAATAATATAATTCGGTTTTGGTTTAGTAGTAATTATAGCCTAATCCAATATATGGAAACTGAATGTAATATTTATATGAAAACATTTACTTAAAGCAAGTATTATACCAAAGTGGGACAACATATTATTGTTTATTATTGATATTATTTGTTCATATACTCAATATTAATAATATTTTAATATTGACCTAATAAGTGGTGTTGTTTAATAAAAATGAAGTGTATATAAGTCTGTGCCAATCCTTAATGTTTGAAGAATGCCCTCTATAGTTAGTTATCACATAAATGCTGTGTAAATGAATAGCGACTATAGGTGTTTTGCCTAGATTTAATGACTATCAATCACACTATACACATAGCCTAAAAAGTTTATAAACATAATGTGGACATGAACTTACAGAGTATCAGAACAATTAGCTTAGTCACCTAATTCATCACCTGACATTGACTTTCTGAACAGAAGCTTGCTGGTCGTACTCAAATGCTTTTATTTCTTACTTTAGGTCCTTTAAGTAAATATCTGTTGTTTTCATTTGAAGGTTAGTAACCTTGATGCTTTTAAGTAATTGGACAATTAAAGTTGATGTTGTTCCTTTGTGACTTTAGTGATGTAATGTTGGGGTTTAGGAGGGTGGTATCTTTAAGATATGAAAAGAGTTATTTATACTGTATAAACACAATAAAATATGTTATTGAAATGTTTAGAAACTGTAACACAAATAGCTGGGACACCAAGGGGAGGTAATACTGACTTATGTGCTCCTGGAGACATAGCCCCTGCCAGGGGCCAATACTATTGTGTACACTTTACATCCAATAATATTAATAATCAGCAGTTGAATCAAAATTTTGACTGCAAACGGACTTTATATTTTATTAATTTTATAATTTTATAAATGTATGTCAAGTTGTAATTATTTTGTGTTAACTTTTGTGTCATAACAGATATTTGCAATATCACTATACTGTATTATTAAATGTCATAGGGTAATATTTTAAGTTCTGTAAGTCTGTATGTCTCCTCCAATTAAAGACCTCTTTTTGAGATTGGTAGTGTTATGGTTTTTAACAGATTTAATCTCTAATTAAAAAATAAATTATAATTTAGATTTAAAAAATTAGGGTTGATCAAGGGCCACAGAGATTGATATGCATTGTTTTTATTTTGGGGAGAGGAGGGATTCAAGTTATTTAAACTCCATTTCAATGTTATGAAGTGTGTAATTATTAATTGGTGAAGTAGTATTTTAAATAAAGTCCCTGATTGAAGACATGTCTAGTGATATATCTAACAATGTACTTTTTGCTGTGTTGTAAATTTTGCGAATGCTGTAAGTATAAAATTGAAGTTGTATAGTGGTATAAAGTTCTAGGGTTGTTTGTCATGATTATATTGTACAATATATAATGTCTTTTTTAACAGTACTAGGTCTTCCCAGAAGTAAATTTTAATTGATCATAATACGGGCTGACTATGCAGTAAAGGGTTCACAGGCAGGGAACATGGTGTCTCTGTTTATGTAGAATACCAATTTAGATCAAAAACTCAGCCACTTTTCTCAATTTGTTGTATTCTTTGATCCGCCTGTGATGGGGAAGAGAAAAAAGAACACCTTAATACTGTAACCTACATTCATCCTACTATGTCATCTTAAAGTATAAACATCCTACCTGTTCCTTTCAATGATTGGCTGAGAAAGAAATCCAAGTGATTGGACGGGAGCATCTAAGACACACCTTCACTTTGGTGCCCTCAAAATTCAAACAGGTTCAAAATTGAGGTGGAACAAAGAGGTTAGTGGGGTAGTAAATTGAAAACTACGAGTTCTAACAATGAAATGTGTTATGCCCATATATGGATGTAATATGACATCATCATGTCCATATATGGGCACATCACACCAATTTGATAGTGTGGACGGAGCATTACTGCCCTCTATAGTTAGTTATGACCCATCTACAAACTAATGTTTGTGTTATTAAATCTATGGACAAATTTAAAAAGTCGGTCTTTTACTGTCTGTATTTATATTTACATTCTAAGTTTTAAAGTGCTGCTGTACAGTAGTGTTCTACAAGAACTTATTTCAATTGCAACTTATTTTAAAAAGACAAACACTTTGTTCATTGGTTTATCCAGAGTTTTGTTTTTTTTTTGCAAAATAAATGTTATGAAGCTCGAAGAAATTGTAAGTGATGGTTGTCATATATTTGTTGGGTGGTGTCTTAAAATATAAAAATTAATCTTCAATAACTTGTTGGAGATGTTTGTATTTTTAATTTCAACTAATTATTTATCTTGCAACCAAAATGATGTTTAAATAACAATTACAATATTTAGTGATCCCCATCAAAATAGATGAACAATAGTAATCCAATAATATGAACATTATTGACAAATGTTTTTATAAATTACAGACTGCCAAAACATTTGCAGTGTATAGTAAAAGAAAAACAGTCTCTTGTATTGTCAAATAGACAATTTATTTTGTTTAGATACATAATTTTTAAAATTTTAATAAATTTGGTGATTTTTTTTTACATTTTTATTGTTGGACAAGTTTTATCATATGATTTAATTGTGATAAAATTATGAATGTATTTTTGCTTCATTTTGTATTGTTTAATGCTAATAAACTCTGCAAAATGTTAAATTGAATGTGTCCTTGTTTGTTGTCCAATACATCATGTCACATATATTGTGTTTAAGGATCATTCATGATTCTCCCGCCATTGGTGTTCTAGACACCCGAAAATAACCTCTGAGGCGCTTTGGTCAAACAATTTTTTTCTTTATGCCTTCCAAAAGTTGGGGGCTGCTAAATCTGCCCTTGATCAATAAGACTTTGATACCCATATCCCTATTCTTCCTTCCAAAATTTCATCATGTACATTGGTCTGATCTATAGTGCTGGTGTCTTTACAAAGATGAAAATGATCTGATCAAAAAATGTCTAGACCATATCCATCTCACTTGATAAACATTAATGAGGTCTTGCGAGAGTCGCAAGCTGGGTCAAACTTTGAATGATGCGCCATGAAATCTGCAGATAATTTCAAATAGAGCTGACTTGATATCATCACAGATCTGTATTCTTTCTTCAGCTAAATTTACACAAACATACTCAAAGTTTACAAATGACTTCTTTAATTACAGTACAGTATTTACAATGCCTTTCAAAAATTAAGGATGTATTTTTAAAAAGTGGAAAGTAAACGTCCATGGTGTTGAAGGAAAATATAGCATCCATGGTGCTATAATCTATAGATTTATCAAGAGATAAATTGGCCGTTAGCAATTGTCTATATTTACATAGTACATATAGGTAAGGATGTGAGGAGATGAATATTTCACCAATTATTCTGTCCTGTACAGACCACCTCTAAGGGTGTATTATAGGAGGAATAATATGATGTCAATCTTAATATAGCAAATAAGGCCAAATAAGGGGCTGTTATGTAGGCCTATTCACATTGGGTCATAAGATCAATCACCAAAGCAACATTAAAGCCCCTCTCCCACTAGGGTTTTTTTCAGTATACGAGTTACAAGAGAATGCCGAGTTGCTAACTCGGCAAACTCGGCAAAAACTTGTAGGACGATTCGGAAAGCTCGGAGAGGACTCTTACCTACTTGTAGCAGCTCTGAACTCGTGGCGCTACCACATGAACATGTTCAAAATTATCGCCACGAGTAGATAACTCGTAGTAAACTCAAAGAACTCATAGGTAGCTCGTAGAGTACTCGGGGTACTCCTACCTAGCTCGTACACTACTCTGGATACTCGTCGCCGGTTTTGTCATCTACGAGTTTGATGCGAGCACCCCGAAACGAGTAGGAGTAAGTACGAGCGCACCGAGTTGGCTCGTACCTAACTCATATCTAATTCGGTACAAACTTGTTACGCTCTTAATAATCTCGTAGTTAACTCGGTGCTCTGCTCGGCATAATTCGTACATAACTCGTAACCAACTCCATAAAGTCGTACCTCACTCGTAGCTAACACGTAATAAGCTCGTATAGGTCCTTTCCAAAGATCACGAGTTTTAACTCGTAGAAATCATACAACTCTTAGGTGAAATAAACCTAGGTGGGAGAGCAGCTTTACGCAGCTTCCTGTGGGATTATTCCGAGTACTGCAGTGTAGGATACATAGACACCTACTGCTTACATACTGCAAAATAAAATACACTGGTAGACAATCCCTTACTCTTCTTTCTGACAAGTACCTAGAGCTTAATTTAATATGTACACCAGCATTTTGATGTACTCGGGATCAACTTAAAATGTCTTTTGTGAAAGATGTTGTGAAATAACTTGTAGTTCAATGCTCAGGAAAATGAACAGCGATGGAATTTAACCAGGGACCAATAAACTTTATGGTCTAATGCATACATTGTCTACAATATAAGTCAGTCTTGCGCACTGCAATTTTGCTTACGATAAGCTGTGCTACGACTACAATTTTTTGAACATGTTCAAAACTCTATACACTTTTATATGACTGTTTGTGTCATGTCGTATACGTAATACCTCTCATACCTTACTAACTCCCGTGCACCAGACAATTTCAGACCTAGCGTGTCGTAGTGCAGCTTGTAGTAAGCAAAAATCCCAACATGTGAGACCAGCTTTAGTTATAGCCAACTACTGTATACTGCCTTCTCTCTCCTCTTATGTATTTCCTGTTACAGTTTCAGTATTCAGATTACATCAAGAAGGCAGGCAGGCTGATCTCTTGTGGATCAACCTGTTTATCCATTGGCTTTTTACACCAGCCTGAACATCACACAACTTTATACTATGCTGATAAAACTGGGAATGCATTCTGTTTACTGATGACAAGCTTTTTATGTTGATGTGAAATGTAACCCTTGATACGATTCTGGAAAATGAGGTTCGCAAGGATACATTCGACCTCGTCGTCATCGACATCAGCTTCGCCCATCCATTTGAGAGCAGACACAAATGCATCAACGGGTAACTGATGTGTGTTCATAATCAGTGACCTACCACAAGTAAAAAATATAGTGGAATGTTTCATTTAATTGTCATGAATGGTAAAAGTTATGTTAAATGGCATACCTAGCCCCAAATGCATTACCTTGGTGGGAAGGATTTAAACAAAACTGCCCTGAAAAAGCCCATTCTATCACCGCCACCTAAAGGCTAAGTATCAATAAAAATATGAATAAAAACTTACACTTTTTTGAAGAGATTCCTATATGTGATAATTTTGAGTTTCTCTAAAATAAGGTACACACCGCTCTTGATGAAGAAATCTTCATGCTTATCTAATGTTTTGGTTAACAGCATCAAGTTGCCGATGCGGACTGCTTTGGCGATGTCTATGAATTGAGTTAGGTCATACTTGTGCAGCAGATCATTCTTTGGCATTTGACCCTAAAATGGAATAAAATGAAGTTTTTGATGAGCTGTAGAGCATTCCAGACAAGGCTTTTATTGCAACAAAAGTTTTTAATTGATAATAACATTTTTTATTACAGAACAATAGCATATATTAATTACTTAATTATTATAAAATAATAGCACAGTGATATGTAATAAAATGTTGATGTTTCAATAATTATAAGAAATCATAATAGCACTCATAGGTAACACAGTATCATTCAGTTTTGTATATAATAAATATATATTATATACATAAAATTAAAAATCCTACAATTTACAACACTAATTAATGATTCTGATATTTAAAGCCCCATTCCCTGCAAAATTTCAGTTGTTAAGAAAAATCTGTAATTTTGTATAATTTTTTTTATTGAATTACAACCTCCGAATTTGCCTAGTAACGAAGAATTCGTCGAAAAAATGGTAATATTCTATGAGAAATAGTCTGTATTTCTCATTTTTTTTATTCTTTTGCGTAAAACTAAAATGTATGCGAATATTTTTCCATGATTTATAATAATTGGAGTAATGCGTATGCACCTTTTCTAAAAAAATCTGTTTTTAGTGAAATTTTGCTAGGAATGGGGCTTTAAGGAAACAATTGATAACTGTAATGTGAGATGTAATGATAAAAATAAAATATAGATTGCATAGGTAAGTTATAATTTAGTAAAAACTAAAGGTCTAAAAATATTAAAACATCACATTACAAGGAATAATAGATATTACACAACAGGTGTTAAAATTCAACTTATTATCAAGTAAAAAACCTGAGGTCGTCTTACATACCAGCAACATCTTAACAGGTAACAAATAGATGAGGATCAGGCGTTTATTTTGCTGGCTAGCGTGGTGACAATGATGTAAAGCAAAGGTCAAATATTCTTCAGCTGTCAAAACAACAAAAGGTCAAAGATGGAAGAAAAAGGTCAAATATTCTTCAGCTTTTGCAAAGTCTTAAGGTTAAAGGTTACTGATGGAAATTCACCATGCATTTCTAAAATGTGCCTTGTACAAACACGGAGAAAATATAATATATATA